CCAAAACACAATATCAGGCTCACTACTTTTGGATAATCCTAAGTATTTTATCTGCTTATGGTTCGAATAACCAGTTCGAAGCAATTGATGTTATCAAAAGATGGTTGTTTATTTATAACCAAAGTTTAATTCAGGGTACACGAGTAATCGGTTTTAGTACAGACGGTGATTCTCGTTATCTTAAAGCAATGCGTCTATGCTCCGGTTTTTTTGCTAAATTACCTAATTTGAATTTGTTCAAGAATAGTGATCCATTTGCTATAAAAATACCTGAACATTGATCTTGGTTTTTTATGAAACAACAACAGGTACTTCTTTTCATGCAAGACCCAACACATATCTTGACTAAACTTCGTAACAGACTTCTCTCTTCAGTAGCAAATTTGAGAATGGGAAATTATTCAATTAATATTGAAGATTTAATTCATTTAATAGTATCAAAAAGTAAAATCGAACACAGTCTCATAAGATCTGATGTTAATCCAAAAGATCGCCAAAATTTTTCTTCTTGCTTGCGAATATCATATGAATTAGTCTTAAATTTATTGAATAAGAATGATAATGCTAAAGGTACATATGTATATTTAACATTATTGAATTTACTTATACATGGATTTATAAATAAGTCAGCAACCATTGAAGAACGTTTATTCCACATATGGACTGTTGTCTTCATATGCCGTTTATGGTTTTCGTGGGTTCAATTTTTAGATATAAATAATATTAGAAAAAAAAAATAATAGTAGTTCTCAATAAAAAAAAAGCTCAAACAAAGAACATTTATTACAAAACCAACATTTTGGTGCATCGAAATAAATGCACATACATTAATTTTTATAATTTTGTTAGTTATTAAAAAAAAAATTACCAATTGAAGCTTTAAATACTTTTTATTTTAATTCACAAATATGCGAAAATACTTTTCGTATTGTTCGTTCAATGGTGGGTTCGTTTTCATCTATTACTAATTTTAGTGTTAAATCATTTTTGAAAAGATGTGAAAAAATATCCATTATGAATTCTATTAAAGGTCGTGGTGATCAAATGGGAGAATATAGTTTTCAATTTCCAGAACATCATAAAAATAATAAAGAAATACTTAATTATTCTTTCAAGAATATTCAACAATTAAATATAACAGAACATGATATTGAAAAAATTATCAACTGTGCATTTGAAACAGCTCAAGAATATGTTTCAATGGTTAATATGACTTCATTATTGAAAGATAAAAATATTTATTCATTACCTCAATTAAGTAAATTTGTTAAAGCAGTTTTAAGTAAATCATGTTCAACAATAGTAGATTATTCAGAAGATGATGATTCTGACAAAGATTCAGATGATGATGAATTCGAAGATGATGAAGATATTTTTGACGACGAAGATCAAATACCAAATATTATTGATGAATATGATGATAATGAAGGAAATATCATATCAAATAGCCTTTCTAATATATCACAACAAAATTTTAAAGGATGTCGAATATACGATAGGATAAATCCACAGCAAATGAAAAAATATTTTCGAATTAATATTGATTCATCAGTGAAATATATTCATAAGCAGACAGCCTGCTGGCTGTTAACAACGAGTAAAAGTCGCTTGTCAAATGATCGATTACAACGTGTTCAAGGACGATAAGAAAAAAGCATATTCTTTTTGTTCCAAATAGGTTTTTTGTTGTTCGATTCAGTATTATGAAAAAATTCTAATACTTATTTTTGTTTAAAAACTTGGCTTTTTCACACTGTGTGTGTATATAAAACAAAACGTGTTCTTGAATATTGAAAATAAAGTTCTTTTTGCGGATTATTTCTATATAATTGAACTAAATTAATTTATCAAAAAAAGTGCTGAGATGGCGCTGAGGTGCTGAAAAGGTGCTGAGGTGCTGAGGTGCCAGGGTGCTGGGTGCCAGCACTTTCCCCCTTGAGTTGGTAATATAGATTCAAAAAATGTTTTATTTTTTGGTTCAGAATATAAACTATTACGTAGTTGTTGAATTCACTTCTGTATATGTTCTTCTTCTCTGGCAACTTGCAGCCATTCTTCTGGTTTCTTAATATCTTTTTCATTACGAATTAAACGTTCTTTTAATGAATTTTTAACACCGTTTTGTAATACTGATAATTTGTTGTTCAGTAATAAATTGTCGAGATTGTCGAGATTTTCTATATTTTCGCATAACATTTTCATAAAATGATATAACGGATTGGTTTTCTTCTTGACGAATATAAAAAAATTCTTGCATTAATTGACTGTCAGATGTAAATTCTTTGAATCGATCGCGCAATGCTTTTTCAGCATCATTCCAATTAATGAATGATCTTAAATTTTCTTGCTACCATCGTAATGTTGATCCTGTTACCTTGCCCATTGTTCCAAGAATTCTTGTTTCATCTTTTAATTTCATTAATGAAAATAAATTATTTAAATCAAATAACCATTCATCAATATCGAGTTCATTAGCTTCTCCTGCAAATTCAGCTAATTTCTTCATTGCTTCTTTTTGACTTGAATGTAGTTGTCGTGCTTCCATCGAGGTTGTTTCCATTTCTTGCATAAATGACATATCGTTTGGTTTTTTATTTCTTATTCGTGTTGGTGAACTGGTAATTAATTCATATGGTAAAAGATTTGCTCCACTTCTTTTAATCGCTCTTCTTGTACCGGTAGCCGTTGTTAAAAAAAAATATATATATTTGCACTTAAAGGAAGGACAAAAAAAAAATTGAACTTTATATATAAGAAAGATACCTTCTTATGATAATTAAATTTTAAAAATAATTTGCATATAAATATGTAATTTCTCTCTCTTCCCTAGAAGGATGAGATAATACTTCACTCTTTCCGTCACGGATGAGTAAATTTATTAAACCAGTTCGTTCTTCTTCGATGTGGTAAATAGAAGAAGATCGGTCACGGCACCAAATTGTTAGCTCGTTTCGTCGAGCAATCGATATCTCTCTTTATTTAAAAGAAAACATCATATATATATATATAAATGTCCTTCACGTACATAAATTCAATAACAAAGAGAAGAAAAGAAAAGATTACATAACAAACAAAGAGGAAAGAAAGAAGAAAGCATCGTGGGATATAGTGAGCAGATATCACCGCTAGCAGTCATGAAAATTCATCATTAAACAATATTCGACTCATACTTGGTACTCGAACAAACAAAACACTGGAACACTTACTCTCCAATAAAAAACCTTGTCGCAGCCTCTTTAAGAAACATCGATTCCAATACTACCTCAAGAACAATGGAAACATAAACGCATGACTGCATTACTTACTCCTTTTTTTTTTCTTCTACATATTTACACTAGCTCAATAAAACCATATTATCGTTTAAAGAATTAGATCAGAGAAATACATCCTATCTATAGTATTGATGTTATTAACCCTTGTTTTCTTTCTGTGTTCTAGATAACTCGAATCAATACAATACCAATCTTCAATATTTGCGAACAAACAAAAAAAAAAACAAACTGAATAATCCGATCTAGAAAGTCGAGCATCGCCAATATGAAACGGCCATGACAGACAGAACATTAAAACGCGATCACAAAACAACGCTAACGATTCCACCAGAAGTAAATGTTTCAATATGTTCTTCTTAAAATCAACAAAATTTGATTCCTTAATTAGCCTGGATCTCAAAAAATTTCAAATACACAAATATACCACAGATTGACAAAAAATCCAATCCAAATCGCCACATGGAAAACAAAGCTCTTTGCTACAGCATGATACTGTCGATATCATAAGTAAGTAACATGATACAAAAATTACCACCCATTACTAAGCCACCACAGAAAAATGATACATCAATTCCGCTATCACAGTAGAAAAAAAAACACTCAAAGGATACGTTCCCCAGACAAGGTCAGCACAAATATTTCTTCCTTAACAAACATAAAAAAATTTTCCATTAAACAAAACATTGAGATGTAAATATAATATTAAGAAATCCACCTGAAGACGTCCCACCAAGACAGAAACAACGTTGTCGTGGAACAGCGATATTTCTTATCACACACCCACACCCACACTTCTCCCAGTCTAAAGTTCGACCACTTCTATTTGTCGTAAAGTTATTTATTTTATTCTAGGGGTGAGAATTTATTGTTATTGTTATTTATAACAATAACTATTTTTGTTATTGTTATTTTATAACAATAACTTTT